CTTTATAGATGAATTTTTTTAGGTTTCAACTCCTGCAGGCCTTTAAAAAATATTGGCCAGGGCTTGAGTGTGAGGTCTGGGCAGGAAAAAGGGACTGGGGGCGTGGCGGGCAGTAGAAGTTGGGATTAGCTAGATATAGAGGAGGTGGGGAGAAAGAGGTAAAAGCAGAGGCTAAAGCGGAATTAGAGGGAAGATGCAGGACAGGGCGGGAGACTGAGCCATGGGAGCCGGAGGGCATGGACAGCTCTGATGGGGTTGGGCTGAAGGGTTGGCTAGCAGGATCCTGTGGGGGGAGCTGGGGAGGGGACACCATGAGGCCTGCTCTGCCTTCAGCTCAGGTCATGATCTCAGGGTCCTGGGATTGAGCCCAGCATCCGGCTCTCTGCTCAGCAGGGAGCCTGCTCAACACACCCCCACACCCACCTGCGTCTCTGCCTACTTGTGATCTCTGTCTGTCAAATAAATAAATAAATAATCTTTAAAAATAAAACCCTATTAACTGTGCAGTCTATTGTATGGCAGTAGTAGCAGTAGTATGGTAAATAAAGGGTGTTTTTTCCCAGTTTTACTGAGGTATGACTGCCAAATGAAGTGCTAAATGTGCACTTCTTTCTTGGGGCCCCTCCTGAGCTGCGGGCCTGACTTGGGAGGCTTGGAGCAGAGTGTTCCCCAGGAACGGGCGTGTTTCTCTTACAAAGAGTCTGCACATTGACCTTGCTAAGTCCAAGCTACCCCACTACCAGCTTTTTTTTTTTTTTTTTTTGGTTAACAACCATTTCAGCTGTAGGAAAAGCACGATGGTGGGGTAGGGATAGATCGGTTGGTTTGTTTGTTTGTTTGTTTGAGATCGGTTTGGTTTACTCTCATTGAGGTTTTACCTAGGTATCCTAATGTAGGCAGTAATTTTATTTTATTTTATTTTTTAAGATTTTATTTATTTATTTGACAGAGAGTCACACAGTGAGAGAGGGAACACAAGCAGGGGGAGAGGGAGAGGGAGAAGCAGGCTTCCCTGCCAAGCGGGGAGCCCAGTGTGGGGCTCGATCCCAGGACTCTGGGATCATGACCTGAGCCAAGCCAGACACCTAAAGACTGAGCCACCCAGGCGCCCCAATAAACAGTAATTTTAAATAAGATAAGGGAACAAGAGAAATGCTCAAGAACTTGGCCACACCTGAGGGTGAACCTGTGAAGTGTCCAGCATTTACTAGCTTCTTTAATATTGGGCAAGTCCCCTAGTTCCTCTGGGCCCCAGTACGCTCACCCTCTCCCCCAGCCGTCTCGCTTTGCTTCCCGTAAGACAGGGAAATTAAAGCACTAATTTCTAAGCCCCATACACCTGTGTCAGACATTTTGGAAACTAAAGGTTATTACTGCCATGATTCAACGTCAGGGCCATGTTTTGGTTTTTTGAGTGTTTTCTTTTCTTTCTTTCTTTCTTTTTAAATAAACTGTTTACATTTACAGGAAAAGTTGAGAAGATAATTTCCATATACCTCCAACCCAGTTTCCCCTGTGATGAACATCTTACATTATGTGGTTATATTTGTCATGATTAATGAACCAGCATGGATACATTATTGTTAACTAAATTCAAATTTTGTTCGGAATTCCTCAGTTTTCCCTTAAGATCCTCCTTCAGCTCCAGAATCGGTCCACAAACCATATTACTTACATTCTGTAGCCATTCTCCTCAGGCTCCCCTCAACTCTTGGCAGTTTTTCAGACTTTCCTTGTTTCTTATGACCTTGACAGTTTGGAGGAGTACTGGGCAGGCAATTCATAGAATGTCTATCAGATGAAACTTTTCTTTCTTTTTTTTTTTCAAGATTTTTTTTTTTTTTACTTGACAGAGAGAGCACAAGTGGGCAGAGTGGCAGGGAGAGGGAGAGGGAGAAGCAGGCTCTTTGCTGAGTGTGGAACCTGTTTCAGGACTCAATCCCAGGACCCTGGGATCATGACCTGAGCTGAAGGTAGACGCTTAACCAACTAAACCACCCAGGTGCCCCTCAGATGGAACTTTTCTGATGTTGTTCTCATGATTAGGCCGAGGTTCTAGTAGGGAAGACTACAGAGGAAAAATGCCATTCTCATTACATCATATCAAGCGTACATAACTATCAACTTGACTTATCCATGTTGATCTTCATCTTGATCACCACGTTGAGGGAGAGTTCTTCAGGATTCTCCACTGTGAAGTTATTCGTTCCCCCTCCACTTTTTTCATACCATCCTCCTTGGAAGGAAGTCACTACGCACAGCCCCACTCTGAAGGAGTTGGGGGTTATGTTCCTCTTCCTGGTTCTACACATATTATTTGTAATTCTCCATGGGAGATTTGTCTATGATGGCCTATTGATTTAGGTACTCAATCATTTATTTATATCAGAATAGCCTGTGGATATTTATGTTATTCTTTGGGTCATAATCCAATATGTCTTAATTTTGTTGCTCAACTTGTTCCAGATCGGCCTTTGGAAACTCTTTCAGTTAGTTGGCTTGGTGTCTGTTTGATGTACCTCCATCTTCCCTTTCTTCGGTTTAGGGCGTCCTTACTCTCTGTACCACAGAATGTTCCTGGCTCATCTTGTATATTTCCTGCCCCAGCCCTTGAATCAAACATTTCTCTATAGAGAATGTTAGGGTCAAGTTTCAATCTTAGCAAACATGTGTCTGACTGGAAGTTAGGACAGACGATCTGTCCTGGTTGGGGGGGGCAGGAGTAAGACTCAACCCACCATTAGGAGGGGACTTTCCCAGCTGTAGCTGCTACAGTGGCAAGTCCTTAGCTGGGAAACAGGTGACTCACCAGCTCCCAGGGTTGTCTCCACCCTCCCCTTCTTGCTGGCAAGACTGTCCTTAAACCAGCTCAGACAGAGGGACCTAGGTCAGAAAGTGTCCCCACCCATGGGGCCTGTCACAGGCCCAGTCAGGGCTTTCACACCGGCAGACACCTCCCCCCATTTGTGTATTATTTTTATATACCCTTCATTCCTGCAGAAAGAATTAAACAAGATTACTCTCAAATTTATAGCTACAATTAAACTATTATTAAAACTTGGGCAAAAGGACAAGAATTCTGTGAAGAGCCCCCACGTGTGTGTGTAGTAATTTTGTCCCCAACACCTGGTTCCCTGAATCACAGATTGCTAGCACTAGAAGGGTTTTCAAAAATAAACAGGCTTCACCTGTCACTTATTTTATTTTATTTTTTTTTCACCTTTCATTTTATAACACTAAGCCGGATCAAGGAATTTCTCAGAAGTCACAAAGCTAATGATCGGAAGAACTAGGAATACTAGGACGGGTCTCCCGATCTGCCTGTCTTTTCAAATCCCCATTCTTGCCTCCTTTTCCTGGAGAGCAAAAAGAACAGCTTTTGGACCTCCTGGGGGATACAGTGGTAAGACAACACTTTGGGGCCTCTTTCATCTGCTAGATGAATAAATATAGCTGGATATGTCTGAGAAGTCTTTGGGCCTATAATCAGGGATTATTAGGATCCCCAGATATTTGGATGTAGGGAATGTAGGAGGTAGACATTGGGATATAGAAGTGGATATTGGAGAGGATCCTACCATTTCCCATAGTCAATTTTTTAATGGTTAAATCAGCAACTTTCTAGGTGTTGTCCTCAATTCTTGACAAGGAAGGAAGGAAGGAAGAAAAAATAAAAATCAGGGATCCTGACACTTTTTCCACGAGATTTCGAGATTTGGATTTGTGGATTTTTATACTACCAATAGTTTAAGAAATAAGATTATCTCTTTGCTTTTCTTTTTTGGGGGATTATCTCTTTTCTTTAATGTTCATTGCCTCCTCCCCTCCCAACATTCTCCCTGCAACAACTGAAGAACGAGGTGTTTTTAATGATCTTTGTACAGGCTTAGATGAAAGACTATCTTGGAATTCAGAGAAAGGATTCTGGGCCTGATGTCACTTGGTACGGCTGCAAAAAAGAAATGAAATTAGCTCTCTTGGGTGACCTTCCTAGAGCTACCTGGCATATATTGTCTCAGTCTGTAAACCCCTTCTGGAACAAGGACAGTGGGTGGCCCAGAACAGCATCAACAAAGAGGTAATTACTATGTGTTTGTGATGACGATGATGAAGATAGTATTAGGGACTTTGGGGATTTAGAAAATACTCAAATGGAGAATTGTCCTTGGAGATCCTCTTCAGCTAGATTCTCCAGCACCCCGAATTCCTTTAGCAGAATATAGTGAAGGTGTTTAAGACCTGCCTCCAGGCCTAATCTAGAGGGAGCTGTTCCCTGGGACTACAGTAAATTCCTGCTTGATGTGTTCATGCTTGAGTTTATCTTTTCTTAATGATCTGTATTTTTTTTTTAAAGATTTTATTTTGGGGATGCCTGGGTGGCTCAGTTGGTTGGACGACTGCCTTCAGCTCAGGTCATGATCCTGGAGTCCCGGGATCGAGTCCCACATCGGGCTCCCGGCTCCATGGGGAGTCTGCTTCTCCCTCTGACCTTCTCCTCGCTCATGCTCTCTCTCACTGTCTTGCTCTCAAATAAATAAATAAAATCTTTAAAAAAAAAAAAAAAAAAAAAAAAAAAAAAAAGATTTTATTTTGAAATAATCTGTAAGTAAACCAGAATGGGGCTTGAATTTACATTCCTGAGATCAAGAATTGAATGCTCTAAGGACTGAACCAGCCAGGTGTCGCCATGGTGTATACGTTTTTGTTTTTTTTTTAAAAGATTTTATTTATTTATTTGACAGAGAGATCACAAGTAGGCAGAGAGGCAGGCAGAGAGAGAAGGAAGCAGGCTCCCCACTGAACAGAGAGCCAGACGTGGGGCTCAATCCCAGGACGCTGAGATCATGACCTGAGCCGAAGGCAGAGGCTCAACCCACTGAGCCATCCAGGCACCCCGGTGTATACATTTTTTTTTAAATCATTCGTTAATTAAGAAAATTATTATCCAGACTTTCATACTTGTGCAAGCATATATCTAGTTTTTTATTTTCAACAAAGGTTTAATTTGAACAGGCTGTATTGTGTGTGCTACAACTTGCTTCTTCCTCTTAACGATAAATCCTGGATAGCTTTCTCCGCCAAGATACCTCGATCTGCCTCATTTTAGCGATTCTTTGTCCTTGCACCTGCGATTCCCTGAGCTCCAGTTTTCGTCCTGCCTCCCTTCCTCCCGGCGTTTGTGATTGCCTGGCCTCATGGGGTGCACTGCGGCGCGAGGCGCGGCTGGAGGCCCGGCGGGTGGGCGGGGTTCGAGGCCGCTCGGGACATGCAGATGAGGTGGGCGGGGCCCCACATATACCCGGGGTTAGCGGCGGGCCAGAGCGCCGGGCCTTGGCGGACTCAGTCGGAGGTGGCCTGCGGCACCTGCTTTCCAGAGCGCAGCGGAGCCTGGTCCCGGGCTGCCCCCGGAGCGGGCCATGCCCCCGCGGGAGCTGAGCGAGGCCGAGTCGTCCCCGCTCCGGGCCTCGACCCCTCCCCCGCGGCGGGGCAGCGCTCCCCCGGAGCTGGGCATCAAGTGTGTGCTGGTGGGCGACGGCGCCGTGGGCAAGAGCAGCCTCATTGTCAGCTACACCTGCAATGGATACCCCGCGCGCTACCGGCCCACAGCGCTGGACACCTTCTCCGGTACGTTCAACGGCCCCGGCGGCCGCGTAGTTGAGGGTAGGGTTGTGCACTCGTCGGCAGGGGCCGGCGCGGCGGCGGGAGGGCAAGGGAGCACCCCGGGAGGGAGGCGGGAGCAGGCCCAGAGGTGGCGCTGGTGAGGTCTGGTGGGGCCCTAGACGCTCTTCCTAACTCGCTGTACCTCCCCCCCCCCCCCTATAGTGCAAGTCCTGGTGGATGGAGCGCCGGTGCGCATTGAGCTCTGGGACACAGCGGGACAGGTGAGAAGCTGTGGGCGACCCCTAATGGACTGGGAGAAGGTGGGCTGGAGCCTGGGAGGACCCTAGATGGATAAGGGATGGAGAAGGTCTTGGGCCCTTCTGACTCTCAGGTCTGCAACCCCGATGACAATCAGATTCCCAATACCTGTGGCAGGGAATAATCCTGCTAATGATCAGGCCTTCCCATCCTAGGAAGACTTTGACCGCCTCCGCTCTCTCTGCTACCCGGATACCGATGTCTTCTTGGCCTGCTTCAGCGTGGTGCAGCCCAGCTCTTTCCAGAACATCACAGAGAAATGGCTGCCGGAGATCCGCACTCACAACCCCCAGGCACCTGTGCTGCTGGTGGGTACGCAGGCCGACCTGAGGGACGATGTCAATGTACTGATTCAGTTGGACCAGGGGGGCCGGGAGGGCCCCGTGCCCCAACCCCAGGCTCAGGGTCTAGCAGAGAAAATCCGAGCCTCCTGCTACCTTGAGTGCTCCGCTTTGACGCAGAAGAACTTGAAAGAGGTGTTTGACTCGGCTATTCTCAGCGCCATTGAACATAAAGCCCGGCTGGAGAAGAAACTGAATGCCAAAGGTGTGCGTACCCTCTCCCGCTGCCGCTGGAAGAAGTTCTTTTGCTTTGTTTGAAGAGCCTCGGTGGCTAGGGAGTAGTAGGCATAAGCCCACAGACTTCTGGAAACTGGGGCTTTTGAGGGGGATGCTGGCAGGGCCAGGCCACCCCATGGGACTCAGTTCCATCTGAACACTGTGAGGACACAGGCCTCCAACTGCCCACTCTATAGGTGAGGGGCTCTGATTTGGATTTCTGTGGTCAGGGTCACAGAGAAATCAAATCCCAGCACTTTCATTTTCGTGGGCTGGTCCTAACAGTGCCAACCACCTCACCTCCAAGCATTTTGGGATCCAATTCCCAGTTTCTTATCATGAGCCCTTAGGTCAGCCTGGCTGAATTAGGACCCCCTATGGTGGTCCCCACCTTGGCACAGCGGGAGAGGAAGAGCCAGGCATTTTGGAGGGCAGGAGGGTGTCCAGCCCTGATTTGGAGAGAAGTTCGGGATGGACTGGGTAAGAGGTCAAGGAGAGACAGAGAAGGGAGCTGAAAGTGAGGTCTTGGAGCCTTGGGACAGGAGGCAGTATGGTGAGGAGGCAGGTCAGAGGGCTAGGTTTGGAAGAGGGAAGACAAGGAGAGCAGAAAAGTGGGGCAGCTGAAGATTAAGGCTGACACCTGGGCTGCCCTCTGCCCCCAGGGCCCGGGAGGGCAGGGCTGGTCCCTGGGAAGAACTGGGACTCAGGGCTCCCTAGGCACTGCCCAAACTGGCTGGGCCAGGAGCAGGGCAGGAAGTGAGAGGCAAGGCCCAGCAAGAGGAGGGGGAGGAGCTTCAACCTAGAGCCTAGAGGAGTAAGGGGCTGGGGTCACTTTTCTCTAAGGCACAGCCTAGAAGGTAGGACGGTACAGACTCTACAAATAAAGTCTTAGGTTTCTGAAGCTGCTGTCTCTGTGTCATTTCCTGGAGCTGTCTGCCGATTGCCCTCTCAGAGCCCTCTTCAAGGCCCAGCAGCCAGGATAGACAGGTTGGGCACTGAAGGTCTGAGGCCAAACTGACAGGTGGGGGCTGGACTAGATGAGACAGTGTGATGGGAACTGGACTGGGGGGGGGGGGCAGGTCTGGGGCTCCCCACTTGGGGCTTAGCCGGTTCCCAGGAGAGCTAGCGTGGGAAGCAGCCTAGGAACGGGTTTCCCCAGGTGTCAGCGCCAGAGCTGCTTTCCCATGACCTCACCAGGCGGGTGTTGCCCCGCCCCTCTGCCCCTCCTTTCTAGAGCACCTCCCTCAGCACTGGGGTTCTCGGACAATGCTGGGCCCTCTAAACCTTCCTGCTCTGATCCTTCCAACTGTCCACAGGGTCTTGGGGTGGGGGACCACCTGCTTCAGAGCCTGAGCATGAAGGGACTTTTTACAGCCTAAAGCTCAACCACTGGTCAAACTCTGGGTCAAGTTGATTGGACCTAGTCTTTGATCTTGGCACTCAGTCCGCAGAAGGCCCAAGGTGCCAGTTGTCAATCATTTAAATAGATGGGTGCCTGGGTGGCTCAGTGGGTTAAGCCTCTGCTTTCAGCAGGGGTCATGATCTCAGGGTCCTGGGATCGAGCCCCGCCCCCCCCCCCCCCCCCCGCTGCCATTGGGCTCTCAGCAGGGAGCCTGCTTCCCTCTCTCTCTGCCTGCCTCTCTGCCTACTTGTGATCTCTCTCTCTGTCAAATAAAATCTTCTTTAAAAAAAAAAAATTAAATACAAGTTTGGTCCCAGAAATCCTGTGGAGTGAGGGTTTGTTGGGTGACAACTTGGAGAGGAGCAGGGATCCAGAGAACATTCCTTGGAATTGGAGCTGGAAGGAACTTTAAAGGGCAGCTTGGAGGAAAAAACACACTTTATTTTAACCATAAGGAAAGGGAGCCCCAGAGGAAAAAGGTAACATCTCAAGTGAGATATTACTACCAAGCAGCTGTAAGAGTACTCTGGGAACTCGAGTTCTCTATGTCCATGGGTAAATGTTATTCTTTTGGAGAGCTATTTCTAAGGCATACCTGGGACACCTGCTAGGCAACTGTCAGGCCGGGTAAGTGCGAGCCCTGTCCCAGCCCAGCAGCCTCTGCAGGAAGTAACAGCTGCTGGAGTATGAGAAAGAGCAGGGCTGAGGGACAGAAATCCCAGCCAAGTGAAACCCGAGATAATCTCCAAATTTAGATTTTAGCCAAGACTGTCCAGCGCCAGTCCCACCAGTACCCATCCCCCAGAGCTCCAGCTATCTTGTCTCCATTTGTCCCCTTGCCCCTCAGGGGGGTGCTGGAGCTGCACCAGGGCAGGAGGGGATGGGGGGGGTAGGAGGGATGGGGGATGGGGTGTGTCTCACACCCCAGCTCCACAGCTTCTTTTACCCCAACCCAGCTCATCACACTACGCCCTGACCTTCAAACTCTTCCATCAACCATAGCCTTAGGCAAGTCATTTCCCTTCCATGAGCCTCAGTTTCCTCATTTGCAAAATAAGACTCAGGATTCTGGGTGAGAGGTTGTTAGACTTCTTCTGGGGGTCTTAGAGGTGCCATGAGTAGGGGGCGGAAGTCTAAAGGTCATCTCTAAGGCTCCCCCCGCCCGCCCAGCTTCTTCCCTGATTCTCTGATGGTCTCAACACATCCATACCACTATGTCTCCTCTTTTGCTAGGTCACCAAGCCTGGCCCGCGCCTTTGTCATCCTTGCCCTCCTCATCCCTGCCTCTGCTGCCTTCCCTCTGGTGCCTCTCTGACTCAGGACTATTACCAGCTCTCAGGGGCCAGCAGTGAACTCCCAGGCCCTCATTTTAGAATTCCAGGACTTCTCAAATCTCACACTAACCCGGACCAGGCCATCTGGTTCCAGTGATCCCACTCCCTGATCTCCGATTATTTTTTGACTTCTGACTCTCAAGTCTTTGCTTTGCCAAGTCCTCTAGTTTGTAAAATGCCACCCATGTCCTGTTTCTCTTCTAAGCATCTTTCCATACTCCCCTTTTCCAGAAAGGGTCTCTTACTTGTATTAGTGTCCACATTGCTCTCTTGGTACTTGGAGGACACTCTGAATTTGGTCACTTACTCAGATTGCATCTCCCCAGCAAAGTATAAAGTCCTCTTCATGCCCTTGTGCTCCCAAAGGGGCTTGGGCTCTGGCAATATTTGCTGTTGGCCCTTAAGGGTTTAAGATAAAAAGCCAACAGTGAGCCCTGGAGGGGACCCTGAGGCTCAAGTTCAGCTCTAGATAATGTGCCACTGAAGCCTGGAGATAAGCCTGAGAGCAATGACTTGCTGGAAAGGCCCTTGGAAAGACCAAGCCTAAGCCCATGCAGGACAGGTGGGATTTACTTCTGGTTCCAAACGCATTGATTTGCTCTGCTTCTGTTTCTGTCTATAATAATCTACCTCTTTCTTGCCTTTGCCTTTTTTCCCACCTCTCCGTTCTCTCTCTCTTTTTTTAAGATTTTATTTATTTATTTGACAGAGATCACAAGTAGGCAGAGAAGCAGGCAGAGGGAGAGAAGGGAGCAGGCTCCCCTCTGAGCAGAGAGTCCCATGTGGGGCTTGATCCCAGGACCCTGAAATCATAACCTGAGCCAAAGGCAGAGGTTTAACCCACTGAGCCACCCAGGTGCCCTGCCACCTCTCCATTCTTGATTCTAAGTTTAAAAGGATATTGATTATGTTAATCAGATAAAATTGTATGTTTCTTACATCTACATTCTTACATGGCCTGATGGATATAAATTGTTTTTAATGTCTGTATAACCAAACCTTAGCTGACTTTTAAAATGTTTCTTTTTTCCCATAATAGATACTCATAGGAAAATTAGAAGATTTTTCATTTATTTATTTGACAGAGAGAGACACAGCAAGAGAGTGAACACAAACAGAATGAGAGAGGCAGAAGCAGGCTCCCCGCTGAGCAGGGAGCCCAATGTGATCTCAATCCCAGGACCCCAGGATCATGACCTGAGCCAAAAGCAGACACTTAATGACTGAGCCACCAGGGTGCCCCAATAGTAGCATTTTGATGTACTTCCTTCCAGCCTGTCCTTCTATGCGTATATTTGAAATTGTTTTTGTGATCATGCTGTATATGAAATTTGTATTTTGGGGTTTTTTTTCCTCCATTTAAAATTTTAACAGGGGATGGGGCTCCTGGGTGGCTCAGTGGATTAAAGCCTCTGACTTCGGCTCAGGTCATGATCCCAGGGTCCTGGGATCGAGCCCCACATCGGGCTCTCTGCTCCGCGGGGAGCCTGCTTCCTCCTCTCTCTCTCTGCCTGCTGCTCTTGTGATCTCTGTCTGTCAAAAAAATAAATAAAATCTTAAAAAAAAAAAAAGAACTTTAAAATTTTAACAGGGGTGCCTGGCTGCCTCACTTGGTAGAGCATGCAGCCCTTGATCTCTGGATTGTGGGCCCCACGTAGGGCATAGAGGGGATGTAACCATATGTGTATATTTGCTTACTATTTCTTTTTTTTTTTTTTTTAAAGCAGAGGCTTTAACACACTGAGCCACCCAGGCGCCCCTGCTTACTATTTCTACTATTTCACCCTGACCATAATTTCTCAACCAGACCCCAAATTGGGAGCATTGAGGTTGTTTTCCTCTAACTTTTTTTTCCTTCTATTATAAATGATACTACGTTGACATTTGATTATTTTTTTTTCCACCATGGGTTGGCCCTCTACAGAAAAACAGTTGCTCTTTGGTTTGGAGATTGGACCCCGTAGAATTCCAAGTGGCTCTTCAGAAAGAGCTTGGGTTTCTGTGTCTGTCTGACTCGTGTGTGTGTGTGTGGGGGGGGACATCTTTCTGTGGGAGGATGACCAGCAGATTGCGGGTACACAATAAATACTAAGTGATGACAAGGTTTATGTATGTTGTGTATCTGTGGTCATGCACATATCCCTGCGTTCATCCCTGTTTTTGCTCTTGCATATTGAAAGTGGGTATTGTCTTTGGGCAAAGCTCTGAATAATTCCATATATGCGCAAGTCTGTGTGTCTGTGTCTGTCCATGTAGGTGTCTCTATGCAAGATATGTACAGCTCTGGATGTGCATGTCCATGCACCCACATGGTATCTGGCCTTACGAGTGTGTATTGTACACAAATCTGCGTGTGTGTCTGGGTGTGCACGTGTAGGTTAGGCCAAGTTTCTGGGGGGGCCGTGTGTCTACATGTCTGTGCGCGCTGTGTGGATCTGTGAGGGGGTCTCTCTCCGTGTGCTTCCTTGTGCCTGGCGAGCATACTGGGCCTGGGCTGTCGTGTGAGTGTGTGCGCACGCGAAAGGAGGTGTGCCTGGCTTGCTTTCCCCCTGGGAGCACAGAGGTGCCCAGGGCGGGGTGACGCACCCTCCCCGAGCTCCCCCCCCCTCCCCCGTTCTCCTGGGAACCGGCTTGGGAGAGTGAGTGAGACCGAAAGCAGACTGCGTCAGGAACACCGGCCCCTTTTGCAACCAGCCCAGGCCCCAGGCAGTTGGTAACCGCGGCTCTCCCAGGTCAGACCTGCCCACTGTATGTGGCTGCCAGGAGACCGGGCTCCCAGCAGGGCCGCACTGTCAGCGCCCTCCTTGGGCCTGGGCCAGATCCACCACAGTGAGCACGACTCAGCCCGCCGAGGGGCCCCATGAGTCATCCTGTGGCAACAGCAGGGAGTGACTTCCTGGGCAGCGCTGGCTGTCCCCGGGAATCACGGCTTTCTGCCTCACGTTGCTGCAATGCCCAGGTGGCCTTATCTCCTCCAGGATCACCTGCTGTTCTTACAACTGAACTTCTCCTCAGCTCCAATTTTCAGATGAAAAGACCGAAGCACAGAGCCCCCTGCTTAAGGTGAAGCCCGAGCTGGGCCTTGGACCTGGGTTTCCTAACCCTGGGTCCAGGCCTCTTTCTAGGGAGCCACCTAGGGCTCTAGGTTTCCGCCCCGTTAGCTCT